TACATCTTGGCCCTGAACCGAAAACACTAATTTTATTTAAAAAGACGTTTTGACCTCCAGTCTAGAATCCTGGCATTAAGTCCTGGCTTGGTTGTGTAGCCTTGACCAAATCTTGTGCCTTCTTGGACTCTGGTCTTCCCTTTGGAAAGTGTGCTCTCTGGATCCCACTTGCATAGTATGGGGGACGGGTGGCAGGGGTGATGAAGAGCCTTTGAGACTAAGGAGGCTTCTCCTCTGGGGGTGAGATGGCTGCTATGTTATTCCAGGAAAGAAGCCTGGGCTTCTGGAGTCAGAACCCAGGCCAGCCCATGCGGATGGGTCTGAGCTGGCTGCTGGCTAACTTCTAGGACAGTGGTTCTCAACCTTCCTAATGCTGCGATCCTTTAATACAGTTCCTCATGTTGTGGTGACCCCCCCAACCCTAAAATTATTTCCGTTGCCACTTCATAACTGTCATTTTGCTACTGTTATGGATCGGGCGACCCCTGTAAAAGGGTCGTTCAACCCCCAAAGGGGTCGCCATCCTCGAGAACCACTGCTCTAGGGGGTTGTGGAGCCTCGATACTCAAGACAAGAGACTCATGATTGTCCTTCCGTTGACAGCAGTGGGTGAGGGTGCGGCAGCTAAGGTCAGTGGAGACTAAGCAAATCCCTACTGGGCTGGGTCAGTGGCCAAGGAGGGCTGCAGAGAGAAGGGACCAGGCACCCAAAGTCTCTCGGCAGATCACTAGCCTGGCTCTGTGCAGGGCTCAAAGTGGACACTGCCTTGGGGAAGACTCCATATACCACCTCCTTCGGCCAGCAAGAGGAAGGCCATCTCTTGGCCAGCCCTCTGAGCTCTCAGAATGTAGGTCTACCAGGAGAGAGGAAATCCTTAGCACCTACGTAGAGCGGGTCTACTCTCCACCCTCCTGTGCTGGTGAGTCCCCAGGAGTTTCAGGAAACTCTCCTAGCTAAAGGGGAGCCCTCGTTCTAGTAGCTGCTTCTAAGCCATAGGGGAGCCTTATCCGTCCCTCAGTCTCCTGGTACTGTTGATGCTGTCCTCAAAGGGAGACCCTTCCGTGAAAGCATTGCCCTGCTGTGACCCCCAGGTGCCCAATGCTCAGCGACCCACGGTGACTGAGGCACAGAAGTAGCCGGCAAACTTCCTTCTCCTGCCATCTGGCCTCCAGGGGGCATTTCCAGCCTCATTTCACTCACTGTCCAGCTTGCTCGGCCCCTAAACTGCCTTGGTTCCTCACACTAGCTGTCTCTGGTTGGGGATGCTTTCTGTTTTCAAAGTCTTTTTTTTTTTTCCTCCAGAGGGGAGCCCCACTACGTTCAGGAAGCTTTCACCAACCTTCAACTCCCTCGGAGTTCCTAAAGGCCCAGCAGCCCCCAGTGCTCAGTCAATGGGGCCCACCAGAGAACAGGTAGTCCCTGGTTTCTCAAATTCACTGTTCCCCTCCTTAGCCCCTTGCACTGTGTTCCTTTGCCAACCCCGCCCTGACTCTAAGCCTGCTGGCTGGCCCTGACCTCTGGGCCAGCAATCCCTGGGCTTCACTTGGCTCTCTTGGTAAACAGATGGGAGGAGGAGTAGAAATGGCAGCAGCCTTAGCAGGGGCCATGACTAATCCAGTAAAGATGCCACTTTGCAGTGACCCCACCCAGGAAGGTCAGGGAGGCTTTGGGCACGGAGACAGTGGGCATGAATGTGCTTGCCCTCCACCGCGTGTGCAGCTCTTGGACCAGAGGGTGAGACTGTAGCAAACTGCAGCAGGAGGGAGCTAGTGCAGGGGGAGCAAACACCCCAGGAGTCCTTCCAACACAGTTGATGCAGATCCTGGCTTGTCTTTGGAGAGCTCTGTTGGGGGTCAAGGTCAGGGGTCCCTGGGTATACATGTTGTCACACACACTCCCAGTTGGTGTGGCACTCACCAGATGCTAGGAGAGCCTGAAGGGGAGGCCACACCCGCTCACTACCCCTTGGAAAGGATGACACCTGCCTAGCCCACTAGCCTGTCACTCATATCTGTCAGGATGATGGTGGGTGACCCTCTGCATCAGACAGGGCTAGTGTCTGGGCCTCTCTGTCCCCAGAATATCACTGAAGAGGGCCATGCATCTTACCCTGGGGTAGGCTTGCCACCCCCAGCTTCATATACCAACATGACTGGAAGACTGGTCCCATCTGTCTCTGCTCCCTTCTGAGGAGTTTGAGACTCTAGCTGTACAGCACACCCACCAGCTCACCCCTCCAGGACTTTCTGAAGGAGCTGCTACTGCTCAACAGTACCTTTGAGCTCCCCATTCCCTGCAGGGGCAATACCAAAAGGTGGCCAAGCCATCAAAGAGTTACTCAATTCCTGCTTCCAGCTGTGGCCAAATGTATCCTCCCTCCAGATAGTCTACCCTGACCCCACCCACTTAGTCACGCACAGTCCTCATTCCTCTCAGATGGAACCCGCACACCTTCCCCTTCCTCCAGACAGTCCTCCCTGCTGCTTCCTCCAGCCTTAGGGAAGAGCGGCTTCGTACCTTTGTACCCACCCATCAAGTGCTGCACTAGGACATCTGTGACCTCAGCACAGACCTGGGGCTGTGCTCCCACCAGGTCTGCAAGTGCTGTCATACTTGGATATACTAAGTGCCCAGCATGGTGCTGGAGCTCAGTAAACACTCAGCCCACTTCTGCTGTGGAGTGACTAGTGGGGGTAAATATACATATTGTCAGACAATGCTAGAAGCCTGCCTACATGATAGCTCTGTGACCCTGGGTGAGCTTCTCCACCTCTCTGTGCCTTGTATTTACTTATTTTGCATAATGGGCATAATTCTAGCTTCACTGGACTATTGAGGTTCTGGAAGAAAGTGCAAGTTGTGACCCCTGGCTTGTCCCAATCCTTTCATTATACAGACAGTGGCTGAGAGAGAGGCAGTGCCTTGTCCAAATTCACTCAGCAGAGCCCGGAGCAGGGCTGGGACTCACTGGACCAGCTAGAATAGCATCAGCCCTGCTGGCACGGGGGATGAACAGTAGGCTGCAGACTCTTTTCAGCTCCAGGCTGGAGCGGGGGCTGCAGGGTCAGGGCAGGATGCAGACACTGGGATGGAAGGGCTTGGGCTGCAGGCAGCACATTCTGGGTGGCAGGAGGGAGGCATGCATTCTCAGCTGGCTCTGAGCACTGACAGACACACCACATGGGGATCCTGGAACCCCAGCTCTGCCTGCTGTGCGCTGGCTTGGTATGCAAGGTCTTTGCAGCCAGTTCCATGTGCACCTAGCCCTGTGGGACCCTGGATATCTCAGACAAACGGACTGCTGGTGTTTAAGTACTCTCCTACCAACCCAAAGGCCAGCAATTCAAATCCACCCACCACTCTGTCGGACAGTGATTGAAGAAGACCTGTGGGGTCATTTGACTCCATGGAATGGGGTCACGACGCACTGGGATTGACCATCTGGTGGAAAAGCTGTCACCTCAAGCTAACAGAACCACTTTCCTTGACCTCGGTGGTCACACAGATGTTGGTGCTGGGAGACCCTGGCTGCTCTGAGATGTGTGGCATCATGCCTGCCCACCTCCACCCCAAGCCTATGAGGCTCATGGAGCGAAGAGAACGTGACCAAGGTTGTCCAGATGTCAAGTAACAAGTGGAGCTTACACACGAACACACCCCAAGATTGCGTCACTCTTATTTTTGAAGGGTGCTCACTGCCTGGGAATCCTTAGTACATTATCAACCAGGGGCCCCACATTGTCATGTTGCACTGGGCCCTGTAAATTACATAGTTGGTACTGACACTAGAATATTCTGACTTGGGCAGTATTAGGAAGGTGGGTCAGTGGATGAAGGTTCACGTCTCTGGGGCTTTGTTTGAGTTACACCCTCAGCCTGGCCTTCCTTTCCTTCCTCATGGGCCAGGCAACTCCAAAGCCCAGTTTAAGTTCATGCCCTGAAGATCCTCGCCAGATTTCTGCCCTACCCAAGAGGTAGGACGAGGGATGCAGACCTTGCTCTAAGTAAGATTCACACCCCAAGGAGGCAGAAACCCAGGTCCAGTGTTGTGGCTGCACACTCCTCCTAGGGGCTTGCTAAATGCAGGTGCAAACAATGCTTACTTCCCCGGGGCTCCCAAGCAACCCCAGCACTTCCTGATGTTCAAGTTGCCTGGGGACCTATCCAAAGGACATTTGATAAAGCAGTCCCTGACAAGGAAGTGCCTAGATTGTATCCTGACAGTAATCCCCCGAAGATAACCCATACTTTAACTTGCAAGGAAATGTAGGTTCCTCGGCCTGGATCAGAGGTAAAGCAAGAGTGTCTTTGGGAACTCCATGCAACTTGCAGGGACCTTCCTGGGGAGGGAAGGACAAAGGGGGGCAAAACACAAAACCCACTGCCATTGAGTCAATGCTGACTCACAGCAACTCTACAGGACAGAGTAGAACTGGCCGTGGGGTTACCAAAGCCGTACTCTTTTTGGAAATAGCTTCATCTTTTGCCCAGGAAGTGGCTGATGAGTTTAAAATGCCAACCTCTCAGCAGCCTGATGCTACAAAGAAGAAAGGAAGGGAAGAAAGAGGAGGAGGAGGATGTCTTGAATCTAGGGTGCAGTGTGGTCACTCAAGATCCAGTTCTGGCTCTGCCACTTCCTGGCTGTTGGTCCATCTGCTTCCATACCAGAGCAGAGGATGGAGAAGTCTCTCGCTCTGCAGCCCAAGCCCAGGGGGGGTCTGGACATGAGAAGTGTTCTGTATAAGCTCCAAAACAGAACTGGGGAGGCAGCGAGCGAGAGACACTTATTTGGCCAACATACCCCCTCTACTAGAAGGAGCTCTGGATTCCACCTTAGAAGGAAGGAAGAAGGGAAACTGGAAAAGAAGCCCCAGTGTGGGCACATCTGTTCCTGATCCAGACCCTCAACCAGCACCACCCACCAGCCAGACCCCATTCTCCTGTCTGCCCAGCATCAGCAGCCCCACCCGCAGGGCTGGGGGCCAGCCCACCCAACTCACCTGCTGAAGTCCTCTGCCAAAGGACCAGGACCAGGACCGGACACTTCTGAGAGTCTCAGGGAGAAGAAGCCTCAGGTGTGAAGGAGGCAGAGGCTCCAGCAGCCCCACTATGTCCCTGCACAGCTGCAGTGTTTCCTGAGAGAGAAAAGAACAAGAGCTCCAAATCCTGAACCTGAGGAGGCCCCAGCCACCAACCTTCTCTCCTCCCTCCCCCAACCACAGCCCTACCCACTAAGAGAGCAGACCTGGCCCACCCCAGAGGAGCCACCTAGCTCAGCCCTTCAATGAGGCTAAAGCTCATACGTGAGGCCTGAAATCACAGCAGCACAGTTGTCAGTCCCTTCCCAGCATGCACCAGAGTTATGTACTAGAATGTTCACAATAGTACTATTCATTTCAAAAAAAAAAAAAGCAAAACAAACCCACTGCCATTGAGTTAATTCTGCCTCACAGCGACTCCGCCCGATAGGATAGAGTTTAAGACATGGCGAGTATAATCTTCTCTTTTGATTTTCTAACTCTAGATCTTGGCATATTTTATTATAACATTTGACTTTGTCTTTTCAAGCTGCCCTTTGAAATTTTCTGTTCAGCTCTATGACTTCTTCATTTCTTCCATTTGCCTTAGCTACTTACTCTACAATTACGAGCAAGTTTCAGTCTCTTCTGACACCCACTTTGATCGTTTCTTTCTTTCTTTCCTTGTCTTTTTAATGATGTATTTGTTTCTCTGTGTATGATGTTCATTTTTTAAAATCATTTCATTAGGGGCTCATACAACTCTTATCACAATCCATACACATCAATTGTGTAAAGTGCATTTGTACATTCATTGCCCTCATCATTCTCAAAACATTTGCTCTCTACTTAAGCCCCCGGCATCAGCTCCTCATTTTCCCCCTCCCTTCCTCCTTCCCCCTCCCTCATGAACCCTTGATAATTTATTATTT